AATGCAAGGTGCACCTCCAACCTGAATACTTCTGAATTCCAGAGCCTTGAGAAGTTATCTTCTATTATCTTACTGGCAATTTCTTCTCTATTATTCTTCCTGCTTGGCTGAATGTGCACGTCTTTACCTTTGACCCATAGTTTTCATTTTTTACAATGAAGGTGTTTGACTTTCTAGCGTGCTTTCAATTTATTCTTTTAGTATTTTTTGAATTTTAAACTATTTGATGTTCTTTTCATAGTGTCTTGCTTTTCATCCTAGAGAGGTGTTTTCTTCTGGTGGCCTGGCCACATTTTGTTTGAGCATTCCAGGGGACTTCTGAGTGCTCCTGCCCCCGGGGAGCTCATCAGAACCTCCCAGGCCTCTTGTGGCACTGGTCGTGCTGGAAGTCGGCGGAGGCTACTTGTGCTATTGCCTGTGGGCTTGAGACCACCCCGGAGCTGGCCAGCGGCTCTCCCTCCCGCCTCTCGCTGGAGCCACACTAGCATTTCTGTATGCTGGAGGCTGGGGACTGAGGAACGCAGCTGCTTCCACGTGGCTGCTACACACACGCACACATACACACACAGGCATGGTCTCACACACACCTGGTCACACACACTCACACACACACACAGGGGTCACATACACTCACACACATATACACACACGGGTCTCATGCACACCTGGTCACACACACACACACTTACACAGGGGTCACACGCACACCTGGTGACATACACTCACACACTTATATACACAGGGGTCACATGCACACCCGGTCACATACACTCACTCACTTACACAGGGGTCACACGCACACCTGGTCACATACACTCACACACTTATATACACAGGGGTCACATGCACACCCGGTCACATACACTCACTCACTTACACACACAGGGGTCACACACTAATATGAGGAATGGAGTTGTTTTATGTGGCTGCTACACTCACATGGTCACAGAACTCACGCACTGACACCCTCAGTCACAGTCACATACCCTGCACACGGTCCCGCGCATTCGCACATCCCTGCACAGTCACACTCACAAGATGATGACAGACTCCCTGGCGGACAGCAGCAGAGCCCCGGGAATGGTGAGCTGCAGCCGGGTGGGTTGGAGCGGGGGCCAGCACGGCCAAAACTTCACGGAGCTGGCCACAGGCCTGTGGTCCTGAGGCACTGCCAGCCAACATGGCCACCTGCTCCCCTTCTGCTGCAGGGCCAGGGCATGGTGCCTCTGCCTGTTGTGGGAGCCTCCAGCACGGACCACCCAGCGCCCTCAGCCACCAGAGAAAGCAGGAGTGGGGCCGACTGAACGGACGTGGGACCTTGAGAGCTGACCAGTAGCCTTAGCATCGTGAGGGGCATGAGGTCCCACCAACAGCTTAGTAGGTTTCTAAACCCTAATTAGCAGAGCTGGGCCAACAGCAGTGACCCAAGTGCTATGTAACCCCTGTGGACGGTTGTCGGGCAGCCAGAGCGTGTCTCCTGCCGGCCGTGGGAAGGTGTTGGGGTGAGATGTATTCTGCTTTTGCGGCTTTTCCTCTGGTTTGGGGACCTCAGTTGTGGGGTCTGAGGGAAACCCCTAGGTGTTGGCTGGTGAGGGCTGGGGTCTGCTAAGGCTGGTGAGTGTAGTGCGACCTGTTGTCATGCTCTTTGGCTGCACAGGCACGTCAACCTTCTGCAGACCCTACCCACCTCCAGAAGCCCAGAGGCGTAGGTCGCATCTGCCCGTGGAAGTCGGGAATGGAGTTTTGGCTTAAAACTTTCATTTCAATGAAGCACAAGTCAGTCTCGGCGCTCTAGCCCACGGTCACGCCGGCACAGGCACTCGGCCATGCCCACACGAGGGAACCCACTCAAGGCTCCTGCTCATGTCATTTTTGTTGTGTGTAGTGGCAGCAGGGTCCTTGCTGTTCACAAGGCACGAGTTGTTTTAAATGAGCACTTAACACTTATGTGATTGTTTCTGGGGCGCACTTAACCTCCACACTTGCTCCTCGCGCCCCAGGAGCTAACTGGAGCTTCTAATGGAAGGTGCAGCTGTGAGGCCAAATCCTGGCAACAGCGTGTGTGTGTGTGTGTGTGTGTGTGTTGGAGGGAGAGGGGAAGAATGATGTCAGGAATGGCAGGGGAGAGGCAGCCCTTCTGCACACCGAAGTCAGCTTTCTGAGCTGCCTCCTGGTTCAGAACTCGCCTCCGTTATTCGCAGGTTGTCCTTGGATGGGTCTCCTCGCTTGCTAATTCCTCCCCTAAAGAACAGACAATGCTAACAGTTGAGACCCCACCGAGCTTTGTGGGGATTAGGGGGGCTTCATAGTTATGGAATACCTCCAAGGGTCCCCACTCCTCACACTCCAGTTCTTCCCATGCCATCACTTCCTGGTGTGGCCTTGGGCCTTGGCAGCTGTCTAGAGGAGGGTCAGGTCATTACTGCTGGGACACGGCCTCGAAGTGGAGTCCACTGGGAGAGAGGGTGCTTCAGTGTGCCAGAACACCCCTCCTGACCTCAGTCCTCTGGCCGGGGGCCTGTGTGCAGTGAGTGAGGTCAATGAAGTTCCAGAATGTCTAATGTAGTTTTTTTAAACTTGGCCATAGTGGGGGGGCGACGCTCCATTTAATAGGTGGACAAATGGAAGACATGAAGAACACATGGAAATGTGGCTCTGGAAGAGAACCAGGGAGGAGACAGGAGCAATACGATTGACTGAACAATGCAGGGCTGGGGTGGAGTGGGCGAGTGGGTCCGTCAGGTGGGAGGGTACAAAGGCAGGTTCTCTGTGAGGATGAGAGTCCAGCCTCATGGAGCCACCACAGGGCATGGCGCTTTGCCCTGGGAGCCCGTGGGCTGGTCCACCACCTGAGAGAGCCCCAGCAAAGGGCGGTGCTGGACCAGTGGGCGGTGTTGCCTGGGGGTCTTCAGCCGGGACCCGTTACCTAGGCTTCTATCAGTCCAGGTGTGTGTGCGTCTGCGAGCTGCGGGTCTCATTCAGAGGCTCTTCAGTAGGTCATGCAGGTCTCCAGGGGCCAGCAGTCAGGCCGGAACCAAGTCTGTACAGCCCTTCCACTTTGCCAGTCCCCTGACGCCGCCTGCCCCGTCCAGGCCAGACGAGCTTAGCGCTGTGTTGATTCTCACTCTCTGGTTGCACATGGCCCCTGTTCTCTCCAACCATCCAACTGCTTCCTAATGCCGTCCTTCCTCTGCTAGCTGCAGTGGCTTCCATTCTCCCCCGGGGCTGGGAGGGTGCCTGCAGGCTCCCACTCCCACAGAGCCAGGGCTACTCACAGACAGTGCCGAGTCACTCCTTCAGACTGGCACAGACTTGTGGGTCCTGGCTTCCTGGGGGCTTCTGGGAGGAGCACAGGGGCTCCTGAGGGCTGCCATGGCGCCTGTACCCAAACATGCCCAAGTCCCTCCAGCTGCTACTGTTCAGTCTGAAGGCTTTAGAGTCAAGACTCATTCTCTGAGATTCACTGGTCTTCAAGACAGAGGCGAGCAGGTGGGGGGGCGCTGGGTGATGGTGCCCATCTTGCACAGATGCATGGGGCTTGCACACAGCTTCACGAGTGCAATTAAGGGATTTCCACAGGAAGTCGAGCACCTGAAGCAACCAGAACGACTTCTCCTGTCTGGCCAAGGAGGCTGACTTGCCCCGTGTCTGAGGCTGCACTGTACAAAATGAACAGGGCACCACGAGCACTAACGGCTTCCTTTATTCTTCCATGTAGCCAGAGACAATCAGAGCTGATTCCCCCTCAAAATGGAAAACTACATGCAGGAGAGAAAATAGCCAGGCTGAAGGAATGACCGTGCAGTTCGGGTTTGTCTAGTTCACGTATTTTATTTATTCAGTGAAGGGGGAGGGGAGCGGCCCAGAGTCTGAGAGAGTACCAAGGTCACACCTCTGTTTTCCTCCATCTAATTCAAATCCACAGATTAAGTGCAAGGGATAAAGAGGACATCTTGCTGGGGAACGACACATCTTATCTGAGAACAAAACCCCCCTTTAAGGTTACTATCCGCCCAGGGGCTTCTTATTTGAGGATGGCTTACTTTTATCTTTATAAAAATATGACAGCGTGCTATAAGTTGCTGGGGTGGATATTTAAGGTAGGTAGTGAGAAGCTGGCAGACTCGGTGGCCTTCCAGGAGTTCAGTTCTGAAAAAGTCCCACCATGGTGAGAGCCACAGAACCACATTAACATTCTTGGGGGAGACACTGAATGACACATGGCAAAAAGAGAATCTCAAAAGACATTTGAGGCCCATAGAGCCCACTGTGCAGACGGGGAGACTGAGGCTGAGGGAGCTAATTACTTTCTGCACAGTCGCACAGCGAGGGAGGAGCAGGAACTCAGGTTTCCTGGCCTCTAATTCTGTGCCTTTGAACATTGCTTTTAGATACTCCTCATATTAATTTTTTTCACCAAGATTCTAAAGTTGGCAATTTTAGCTTTTGAAATGAAAAAAAAAAAAGTGGAGAAAACAAAAAGATTTATGCAGAACACTAATGAATTTATAACCGATCTCAGGAACTTCATGTTGAGATATAGTTAAAAGACTAGTGTTTGGATCCAAGTCCGGGAACTCCGCATTTCTACGAGCACACAGGACAACCTCTTGCACACAGCGACACAGGGTGGAAGACAGCACCACGCAGGGTTGGAAAACCAGTGTCGGAAAGTAAAATGGACCAAGTCACTCATGGGCGGCTGGTCAAATGACGCGGAAAGGAACACAAAGCCACAATATCGGAGAGGAACTGCGGAGGGGCTCCTGGTGGGGACTCAGAGCACCCGTCCTATGCAGCTGGGTGCGTATGCATTGGCTAACACGTGGCTGCTACCTTCGCGAGCGTCACCTGAGCTGAGCAAGTGTGAGCTCTGCACTAGGCCAGCTGCCCCGAGCCAAACACGCCCTGGTTGTCAGCGCCCATCCTTCACCCGGGAAGCTGGCCAACGCCTCTGAACCATGTGTGCGAATCAGAGAGGGGGCAGGGCGGGGAGGGTGTCAGGTTGCGGAGAGAGGCTGGACATTCTGAACCCTGGACAAAGTGACTGGAATCTGGGTTTCCCCTGGGCCCGGTGCCTTGGTGACGGGTTGGGTGTGGGCCTTGAGGTCGGCAATTCGCTCTTTAAACTTTTGCTGAAGCAATTTCTCTTCTTTGGAGTAGCTTTTCGCGAACACCGACATGAGCAGGCACCCTGCCATGGACGTGCCCCCGATGCAGAAGAGCACGGCCCCTGCCAGCTTGCACAGGTCGAGGGCGCCGTTGAACTGCACGGCGTGCCGGTCGACCACCACAAAGTCGGCTTCGCCAAACGCCTCGATCTTGGGGGGCACGAGAAAGCCCACTGCCAGAACAGTCAGTCCGAGAATCACGAAGACTGTGCCCGAGATGAGTCCGACCTGGAGAGAGAACGGAAGCGAGATGAGTGAGCGAGGGCTTCGGCTCCACCCTGAGCAGCAAGGGCGGCCTGTGGGGTTTCTGGAGAGAAGGGAGTCTTCCCAGTCAGGCCACAGCCACGTGAAAAGTCGACTTGATTTTCTACCTAAAAACCAAGGGGAAAGAAGACCTCTCTGGGTTGAATGTCAACCTAAAAGTGCAGGCTGCATCTGGTGGTCTCCTGTGGGGACGGCGCCTGGCCTGGCAGATGGCACAACCCTCTTTCAGGGAAGAGAGGAGCAGGAGCTGGCCCGACTCTTCCGCACGCTGGGCAGTCGGGAGCTGGCTGCCGGCTCACAGCGAGGCCAGGCTCTGTCGGGCACAGTCTGCTCCTCCTGTGGCTGTGAGGGAGTGAGGCAGGACAAGCCCACTTCACAGCCGAGGCTCAGCTCAGACCCAACCAAGGTCATGGTGCCAGCCACTAAGGCCCAACCTCCACTCCTCTGGCCAATCTGACCACGTGGCCAGGGCTGCTCCTTGCTTTGGCCTCGCTATCATCTTCCTTCCCTAGAGATAAGATTTATTAAACATCCAGCTGTAGATTCTCCCTGACCCTCTTCCACTTCTTCCTACCCTTCTCCAATCACCCAACCAAAGCCTATAATAATTCATCTTCTCACACTCTCACTGGGTCCCCAACTTGTTCAGCCCAGAGATATGTTCCTGGTGGTTTGGGCTAGAGCACACTGTCAATCCTCCTGAGCCTTTTCCCAGCAAGCAGGGCAGGAAACATACCTGTTAGCTTATAGGAAAGGACATGTAGCCACACAGGGTGGGTCGCTGGGCCAAAGATGAGTGGGTCCCAAGCTTCAGGGGCAGGGCAGGGAAACCATGGGGCTGACCCCCAGCCCAGCACAGCCCAGGGCTTTTTCTATCCTCCTGTAGCTACCTGAGCTGCAGCAGCTAGTAAGTGTGCAGAGTAGCAGATGGAGCTTGAACTGCACTAAGTTCTGTGGAAGGCAGCACTGGAGATGGAGCGTGACTTACCGTTTGGTGGCTGGAGTCATGTGTTTGGTTCTAGCAATGCCACCTAGTGCTGGGACCACAGAGGGAGAGTCACTTCTCTCATCTTTAATTTTCCCACTGACACAGGGACAAATGATAAGAGTACCTGCCTCACAGGTTGTGAGTTAAATGTGCACTTAGCTTTGCATCTGGTCAAGTAATAAATTGTGACAAGTCACCATTATTTGGAAATACACTCCTTGTAAAATCGTTATTTTGCATGGACATTGGTATTAGAACAATTGCTTAGTGTTTAGACTAAGGAATAGTTAACATTACTTTTGGAACAAGGAATTGTTAACAGTTACACATTTTTTTCAAGCAAAAATTTTCATTTTCTCCTGCTCCTTATTGCTTTTAGTTAGAATAACAAGGTTGGATAAAGAACCAAATAATATCATTCACTCTTGAGTATTTAAAGTGTGTGTATTGGTGTACTAAATTTTAGGGATGATGCACTGATGAAGGAGATTTTCCTAACAGAAGGAAAATATATTCATAACCCATTAAGCAGGGGAAAGGAGGACTGTCTGTTGTGGCCCAGGCATAGTGCTAGATATATTTTCATTTAATCTTTATAAGCATGTTAGGAGAACTTTCATTCCTGTTTCACTTATTTTAGAAATAGAGGGTCACAGGGTCTAAGAAGCAGAGTTCCAGATCTCATGGGTAGCAGGTGGTTGGATCATATTCTAATCCAGGTCTATGTGATCCCCCATCTCTTCTCCCTCTATTACTTCACTAATTATTATTTTGCATATTCCTTTACTATTACTTTTATTTCAAAAGAGTTTCAGCTACCTATATATGGGCACATGTCCTTTAATGTAATTTTGTGAAGAAACTAAAAAAAAAAAAGAGTCAATATGATGTCTACTAAAAAAACAAAACCTGTTCTACATAAGATGTAAGGACTGCAGGAAAAAAAAAAATGGCTGAAAAGCATGACACCTTGGATTACTTTCTAAAAATAGTGGCAAGTAAATTTACCTTTGGAGTCTGAACAGTATTCATAACTTTTGGAAAACGACTCACTTTGGAAAATTCTGAACGTACCGACTAAGTGAACTTAAATACCCATGGAGCCACGCTTCCTGCATGACTAAACTGCCTTCCTCCTCAAGAACTGGCACTCATCCTCAGACGTGGTGGGCGTCAGGAAGGCCTCCATCTTAGTTCCTGAGCTTCTGACGAGGGTGTGAGCCAGCGCCCTCCATCTGTCTGCCTCTGCCTCGTCTCCCGGAGTTCCTGGCCCAGCCTGACGTTCAATAACTATTCCTAACTCCAACCACCAGACCGCCCAACATGGAGCAGGGCCAGGTGACGGATTCTCAGTGCAGCCCGCTCCCCAGCGGAGCAGCGCATGAGATGAAAATCCACTCTTGGAATGTCACCCTGAAGCGAAAAGGCAAACTGTGGCTTGCAGATGGCAGCTCTGCTCACTGTCGGAACTGGAAAAGTGGCTCACCCCACTGCTTCAGAAGAGCCGAAGGAGGAGGGGAGGACGTGATGGACAGGTGACTGCAAGGATCCTGAGGACCCCAGGAAACATGCCCAGAGAGGAACTCGGAACCCACGGACAGGCAGGGAGAGCTGGGCGTGACGAGGGGACGTGCAGGCCCAGTAGCACCGCCCCCCCCCACCGCCCCAGTGCTGTGCTGGAGTAATGGAAGGAACAGGACTTTGGGGGAGTGACCTTTTGGGGACTGATTCTGTTCAGTATATCATAAGACTTGTTTCTGGACGCAGCTCTCAGTTGAAGTGGACCTGGACCTAAGAGAAAGAGGGTCCCGTGAAACCGACAGAGTACAGTCAATGGCAGCACAGGGGTTATTGGAGGGTTCATGGGAGCAAAGCGGCTCTGCTTAGGGCCTTGTGGAGGAGCTGAGGTGCTACTGGGGAGACCCCACCCCAACCCAGCAGGGCTGTGGGGCAGTGAGGTCCACCCTAGTGGCCGGGGACAAGGACCTGTCAGGCCGTGACAAACCCCAGAGGGTAGCGAGGTGGTGTTTGGGCTGCGACTTCTGGTCTGTCTAGGTAGGGCGCAGGATGTGTGAAGACCCAGATCCTCTGTCGGGAAGAGGGCTGGGATTCTAGACCACTGCTGTCTGCACCAGGGCCCTCTGTTGCTCCTCGGAGCAGACAGGTCTGCAGATGCAGCTCCTCCAGGAGGCAGAGCCGCAGCTGCTGTCAGAGGAGCAGTGATGACTGCTGGGGGGAGGACCCGCAGGCGGAGGCGCCATCGGCGGGGAAGTGCTGGAGGGAGCTGGATGGAAGGAGCCATCTGGGCTGGAGGTTATTCAGGGAGAGCGAGCCAAGAGCAGAGACTGGATTCCTCTCCTTCCTCAGCCAGGGCCGCTGCGACTTCTCCCTCACACACTCTGAGCAGATTCTAGCTCGTAAGTCCTACTTGCCTCAGCTCACACCGAGCTTTACCAAGCAAGTACCAAGGTCAGGCAATGGTCAGGCTCCTCCTGGGGCCTGACCTCGCACCATCTTCCCAGCACCCTCCACCTGGCCATTGGGGTGTCCCCATGTCACCTCCACCTGGCC